TGCCATCAAAAATGATAATCATTTACCTTAACTAACTAATTTACTAAGGCATCTTTAAACATTCCTCCTTTTATTAACGCTCCCTTAAATTTTTTTTCATCCTAAATATATGCAATAAATTGATATATTTTGGTATATGCGAATAAAAGTAATTTAAATAATCTAATAGACTATTTTTGAAACCAGTATTTTCGTTTGCTTAACAGAAAAGTGCTTCTTTACAAACTGTTTTTTTGACACAATTTCATTTTCATTACAACTAACATAAACCTTTTGCGATTAGTAAAATACTAAGCGTGTAATTTAAAAATTTTAAATTGACTGTAAATTGAGAAAAGCTACTTAATATTAATTATGATTCAATTGTATTGGCAAAAATGTAATTTTCATTCAGATATTGAATATTTTTGCTACAAAAAATCGGACTGAGTTACCGCTTCATACTTATGGATGAGCCATACACAAGAGTACAACAATCATGTCATTGTCTTTATTTACTTTTTCTTTAACTGCATAACAGTGCGCTCTCACTTAAGTCACTACACCTTTCCAGTCAGTTAATTCTAAAATTACAAAAATTTTGCAATTTATCCTGAAATTACTTTGTTTTAATAAATTTTCATTAAATTTGCATATTTAATAAAATTTTTTCATGTATAAATTACCCTCAATTCTGTAAAATTAAAATTTCTTTACTTTTCCTACTAGATTTATATATTGGACGGCTATAATAAATAAAGAATATTACTATCAATTTCATATTTCAATCATTAATTCCAATAAAATTTTTTCTTAATTCTCTTAATAAAATTTGATAATGCAAAATTTAAATTGATTTTATCAGTTCAATCACCTACATTTTATTATAATCTTTTAAATTTAGTACTTAATTTTTTTAATTCTTTAAAATTATAATTAAATTATTGTAAACATTGTATTGTGCTGCATAAATTCAAGTATATGTTAATCAAATAAATAACAAAATTTTTATCACCTTTATCAATATTTTTTATTTATTTATAATATTTAAAATTAATGCATATTTCAATAATAATATATAGTATGTAGCTAAATGTATTTCTGAAGTGACTTTATTATTTATATTTAATATTATACTACATGTAAATGTGTCCAGTCAGAATTTTATATTGACACTCAATCATCTTAGCATATCAGATTCATTTATACTAATAATTTCATAAATGACTAATTTACTTATAATTTTATAAAATTATATGCATTGTATGTACAACGTATACGTATATTTACATTAATTTCTATAGTTACTGAAGATTTGAATCATACACATTCTAATTTTCTTTGTTTCCTAAAAATTTTTCGAATTAATTTTCGAGTAAAATTAACCATTTAAATTTCATTCAACTTAATCCACACATGGTAGTAAAAATTTTATTCAATTTTTTTTTTGTGAGTCACTTAAATTAAAAACGCTATTGTTTCTTAACATGTGCAAACAAAAAAAATTATAAGTAATTTATTAAAAAACCGCATTAAAATACATTTACAAATTTTGCAACATTATTTTGCATTCATGTAAAATTTGTATTGCAAACACCTATGTACATATATACTTGCAAAAAAAAAACCCAATTAAATTAAGAAAATGTTTTTGTTCTTAATTATTGGGCAATATTTACATATCAAAGTTAATAAAGAAAATAAAAACAAACATTTAAAAAATACTGTACAAATACAACAGTACACATAAACAATAAAACCACTCTTTGTTAAAAAAGAAAATTAAATTTTGCGCTCTATACTCTCCAATATTGCATTCGCTATAAAGTATCGTTTTGATATCGATTGCAAGTAAATAATTTTTTGATATAAAATTAAAGAATTAATAACAGTACCATTACGAGTACCATACAAAAAATATAAAAGTAAATTGAGCATATTCAGCAACATTTCAGCAATATACGTAAACTATTGGAGTATTGTAATGGGTTAGTGTATGTAATTTATAACTTCTCATTAGTAACGTAACAGTTTATTTAATTCTCTCTTTTTATTAAAATAAAAAACATATATTAGCAGAAAAAAGAGCATAAAAGTAGGAAAACAAAACAAGCACAATATAAAAATAATAAAACAAATAAAAATCGTTGATCTACCTCATTAACAGGTTTATGGTGATTTATAGTAGCTTTTTAAGGTTTTAATTATAACACTATTTAGAGTACAAAATGCTGAAATTTGTCTTAAAATTATTTAATTCTTAAATTTTTGTTTACTTTCAAATTAAATTACCTATTAATAATAATTATTAATGATACATGATTGTAGATGAGGTAGTAGCTGTTAATAAGTTCGTTTGTTGAAAAAATAATTTACTATGAGGTACTCGTACAGTGCAACAAAACTACAACTGCTATAATGTTAGAAACAATTCAATTTCGGTATTTCATAAAAGATTTAATCTGTTTTTAATAAATATTTTTTTCATCATTCATCTGCAATTATATGCATCTTTTTTTTACATATATTTATACTTTTCCAGCAAATCTAAAAGCAATAAACTTACTAATACTACAATTGAAATTAAAATAAAATTAAATAAAAATTTCAATAATATATCAATTATAAAACTGAACAAAGAATACAATGAATATCCTATAGTACTTTAAAAATATTTTTTGTTAATAACTTTCAGAGAAATTAAACATCTCTCAAATAAGTTTTCATTAATACACTGATATTAAAACTGTAAAAACTAATGCATGCATTTGAATTGTGTGTGTGTATATTAATTTATATATAAATCGTACTGAAATAATAAATTATAATCATGAGGCATGAATGAATACAAAAATAATGTGTTAGTGAAAAGAGGAATGTGTTAGTTGAGAAGGACAATGTGTTAGTGAGAAAATCTTTAGAAAATAATTAAATTAGTGGAGTATCTTCGCTCACTATTCCGTTCCACATACATTATTATTATTATTATTATTCTGTAGATTATTAACTAATACTATTAATTTAAAATAAAGTAGTACAATTAAGATACTATATATAAACTATATATTTTTTTTTTCAAACTTGGAGAAATTTTAATCCAATAAAAGAAAACTTATGCTCAATACTTAATTTATTTTCTATAAATTAAAGAAAAACAAATACAAAGATATTAAAGGAGAAATGAATGAATGAATAAGAAAACGGAATATTGTATAAGAGTTTTTTAAATAATATTCAAACGATATTTTTTACTCTTATACACAATATTGCTTCTCATTTTTAATTTTTCTCTTGTATTGTATATTATTCATTACCATAAAATTGAGTTGTATTGTAAAACATAAATATTGTTGTTACCTAGACCTAATATACTTTTATACAACAATAAAAATAATATACAGTTTTTTTTTTATTATAAATGAATAATAAAAAATTTTATTGTTCAACTGCTGACTGCTTCTGTTCCCCATATTTTAATATTGTTTATAAGTATGTATTTTAAAATGTGTTATATTCTATTATTCTATTATATATTTTATGCTCCCACTGTAAATGTTATACAATTTTTATATTTATTTCAATTCTATATTACTGTATAATTTTTTTTTTCTTATTTTTAAAATTTAATGCAAAAATATTTTCAGTCGCACAGTTTGTGTCAATAGAATCAGCTGGTCTTCTTCGGAGATCTAGTTGTTAAAGAAAAAAAATTTTTTCTTGTTTTCTTGTCGTTTTTGTTTTTAGAAAAAAAAAATTATAATATACATAGGTATAATATATCTGCTTAGATAAATAATATATATATAATAATTCTTTATTTAGGTGTATATATATATACATATATTAATATAGAAAATGAATAAAAAAAAATCTATAAATAATTGAGAAAAAATTTAAAAGAAAAGTAAAATAGAGTAACTGACCCTAGAAAACTCTGTGTGTAATAAAACCAATATTTTTGTGTTGATTTTTTAATTTTCTATTTTGTTTATTTTGTTTTTTTTTTTTTATAGATTTTTCACCAAAAAATTAAAGAATATAGCAAATATTAGAAAAGAAAAAAGTAAAATCAAATATAAAATATGAAAAATAGTTAATATTAATGGAAAATGTTTAATTTAATAAAAAAATATATGAAAGAAAATTTTATTGAATAAAATAATTTAATCGGAAAATGTGAAATTCTTTATATCGTTTTTTGTTTTTGTCTTATTTTTATTTTTCTTCTACATATTTTATTCGAAACGGAACAACTATTTCAAAAATTATATTGTGCAGACAATATAAAATCTAAAAATAACGGTATTATGTGTAAAATTTTTTAATTTTTGAATAAAATGAATTTTTACGTGATTGTCATTTAAAAGAAAGAAAAATACTATAAGAAAAGAATTTGAGTTTTTTATTATCACAAATTAAAATTTAATTTAAAAATTTTTAATTAAAAACAAAAAGTAATGTTTATAGAACTTTAATAAATTAAATATTTAAAAAATAAAAATTTATTTTAAAAAAAAAATTTACAAGACATGTTAATATTAATATTTTGTGAACAATCCTAATTGGATAAAGAAGAATAAAACAACCAAAAAAAAAAATAATATTATTTAATTTAATTTAAAATAATTTAAAATTTATTCTTTATAATAGAATAAATAATATACATCTATGTATGTATGAATATATGAAATTTATATGTACGTATATAAATGCATAATATTCAAAAATATTAAAACCAATTTATTAAAGTCTTTAAACAAAAGGCGCATATTCCATCCAAAAAAAAAAATAAAATACAATTTATAATATGATATTTATGTATCTGTATAAATACATAAGTATATATGTTTGTAAAAATATTTATATGCAAAAATTATACAAAATAATAAAACAAAAGAAACAATAATAAACATAATAACGTAATAATATTTAATATTAAAAATTATTATATAAAATAAAAAACAATAAAATAACAACAATAATATATAATATATTGTATAATATATAAAATTATAACAAGAGTATAACAAAAACAACAGCAACACTAACAACATCAACATCAAATATGATGAACTTCAAACGCTATAGGTATGCTGTATATTATTATAACATTATTCACTATAATGTTATGAAAAAATATTAAATAAATATTTTTGAGCGTAAGCATAAAATATATTCTTACATATTATATACATACATACATGTCATATATATTTACTTCTACTATATATAATATTTTATAGTGTTATTAATTTTTTTAGAAAATTTATCTTAAAAAAACAAAATACTATTGAAAAAAAAAGTTCATACATAAAATTTTTCATTATTAAGATAAATTTTTGAGATATACTGTTATATATACAATATGCCTACTAATATAATATATAATATATTGTTATAGAACTATGTCAGAATATTTTATGATAATATTGATAACACTAAAAATTATTTGAATATTATGTTTAGAAAAAAAAAAAGAAACAGCTGAAACATTATTATATATGGTTATTAAAGTATGTACCAGACTAATATATTAGTCTGGTTATTTTTAGTCTATTAATTTAAATTAGGAATAATGAAAATGAGCAACTATAATAATATAATATAGAATGTAATATAAATTAAAGTAGACGCACATGAAGCACATTTTATATAAATTAATTCTCTATATGATACATTCACACATACACGTATACCTGCATAAGTAGAAATGGCGAAATAAAATATAAAATAGTAGTGAAATTCATGTGAAAAAGTAAAACGCATTTTAAACGCATTTGAAATAAAAAAATAATTAAGTATATAACATTGATAATAATGAAATATATGTAAAAATAATTTTAATTATATAGTTACATATTATATAAAATTTTTCAATCCAATTTCGAACATCAAACTATATTGAACGTAAATAAAACAAAGTCTTTCTTTCTTCTCTAATATTTATCTTTATTTGAAACCTCTACAGATTTACTAAATCTGAATATCGATAAATATTCGAATTTCAATTAACTACAGTATAACAACAAAATTTTTAGCAAATAGTAATGAAAAATTGTAATGAAATTTTTGAAAAACAATTGTACAGAAAATGTCAATAATAATGTATATATATATATATGTAAATATATGCATATACTTTTATTGAATTTATTAATTTATTAATCAAATTATTAAAATAATAGCTATTTTGTAACAGATTAATAATAATTATGATTATTATATCCTTAATATTATTATACATTTAAAAAATAATAATATATCCTTTATATTGTTATATTCGATTTTTTTTTTTTTTTGCAAATAATTAATTTTTTTTTTGTTCGTGTATATGTGAGTTTTTCATTTGACATAAATATTATTACGAAAAATATAACAGAAATGAAATGTACATATGTGTATGTAAATACATTCTGAAAATATGTGTAGAATCACAGACATCTTTATATTACATGATAGGAGTTTATCGTATAATGCATAATTCACAAATACAATATATGTGCTTAAAAACACACATGCAAGTTCACATTCAAATTTTGTTTTTGTACACATACACATTCATAATTATTTATTTGAGTATATTATATTTTAACCCGGCTATTGTATTTTTTTCCACCTGTCAAAATTCAAAAAAAAAATAAAAACAAAAATAAAAACAATATTTTATATGTCATCTTCATTTTCATATACATACATACATACATACAATGTAATTGTACATGCATTATGTATAAATAATACTTAACATGCAGTACTGTCAGAACATTCATTGGAAAAGTACCAAGGATAAGTAAAAATCTTGTGTCCAATTTTTCTCATTTTCTAAAGTAGTGGAAAAAAAAAATAGAACGGGAAAAATTTTAAAAATGATAAAAAAAATTATTTAAAATTTTTTTTTGTTTCATGTTTTTTTTTTCGATAATTTTAACATGATAACATAAAAGTAATAAAAAAAATTCCGAATTGAAAATTTTGTGCAATCGTTCTAACCTCAAATTTAAAAGAAAAGGACAAAATATACAAGTAATGAAATTTTTTCATTGAAAATTTTTTAATTAAATATTTTTTTTTTTTTTTAAATTATTTTTCTATATTTGTGTTCTCATTTTATTTACTTTTAATTAAATATCTAGATTTTCTATATTTTTTTTTTTAATGAATTACAACAAAAATCTCTATATACATTAATGTAGATATATAATTTTTATATATATATATATGTATATAATATACTTGAAATAAGAACATGTCCTAGTTTTAATATGAAATGAAAAAAAAAAATAAAGTGAATATAAAATTATTTTCTTGCATTAAAACTAATGTATGCGTATATATACGAATATATGTATGTACATGTGCAGTGTTTAATAAAATAATAATAATAATTACTAGTGTTACAGATAGAATATAATATTATAAAATATTTTAATAATTAAAATGTTATACAAGCAAAAAAAAAAAAATGTAGGTACCTACATTTAAGTGTTATACACGAAAAAAATACCAAGTGAAAATTGAAAAAAAAAATTTTACTTTTTAAGCATATTTTTTTTTTGTTTGTTTGTTTGCTTTTTCTCTTACCCAATTTAATAGTTAAAATCTTCTTGAATAATTAATTAAGATAATAATATTCAAGGATAAATAGACTAATAGATTATAAAATTTATGTTATACCATAAAAAAGTGATAAAATCCATTTTTTCTCTCTGAATTCGTATAAGCACTAGATATATTTAAATTATGTGCATACAATATAGAAATCAAAACAAAGATATAAGACTTGGAATAGAGCTTATAATTCTTAAATTTTAGAATTTATAATGAAAATAATTGAAAAACCAAAAAAAAAATTTAATTAGGTACTATGAATTTTTAACTTAAAATTTAATTTTAAATTTTGACAAGATATTTTTGAACATCCTTTAATTAATTTTTCTCGTCATTGTGTGTATATATATACATTTTATGTGTATATTTTATATGCAAGTAGAATTCTTATACTGAATATGCTATATGCACATACGGATATATAACAATATAAATTAACCTTAATATTTTATAATTACATTTGATATTTAAAATCATATTTTTTTTTTTCATTAATAATTTGATTTCTACACAAATTTTAAGTACTTGAATACTAATATATGCTCTTTTCTCTATATAAAATTTCAAATTAAATTTATTATTTAAAATTTTGAAAAATTTTAGGAATCTTACACGAAAATCGGATATAATTATTAAAATTATATTTTCGTAATCCGACCAATTAATATTAAATAATGGATTTAAAATAAAACAAAAAAAAAACAAGAAAAATAATGTCTATAAGTATGTATTTTTTCTGATTTTGTATACCTATTTCACATTTATTTTTACATTAAAAAATATTATGGTATAAATAATAATACAAAATAACTATGAAAATGTCTTAGCCTTTATAATGAATTTTAAAAAATCTATTTAAATTAAAAAAAAAAAAAACGCCGGGAAGTATGCAATTTTTCAAAATTATAATTTACTCTTGACGATCTTAAAACAAAAAGGAAGTTATTTTTTTTGTTTTAATTTTCGAAATTACATACAATTATTCTTATTTTTTTAAATTAAATAAATTATAATTAAAATAATTTTTAAATAAACTTGATGTCCTTTATGAAAATTTAAAGCCATTATTTGTACGCATAGATTATAAATATAAATAAACAAAAACGTAATCAAATTTAAAGATTTTTTTTTTAAAAAATATACTTAATATTTTGTATTCTTATTTTAATTTTTAAATATTAAAAAACAACTATTTTATATATAAATACGAAATTAAAAATTGCATCGTACATTTTTTAACCCCTACAGCTATATTAGTCTGCTTGCTCTTTTTTGTTTTATTTGTTCTAAATAATCAACTTTTTTTTGTTATATATATATATATATATATACACGGAACATAAATTACATAACTATTCGTATATATATATGAATGAATATTTCATATTTTTCATAGAATAATTCCAATTAAATTGAAAAAAAAAAAATATTCACCGTTGAACGGGCTAATATAAAGATTATCTTAGATAATAATATGAAAAATTTCAATATTCTAAATTAATGTATGGTATAAGTAGTATACAATTTATGGATAACATATAGTTCTTCAATTAAAATCTTCAGGTGTGAGAACTATTGCAGTAACATGCAATAATAAAGTTACCTCATATATCCTAGATATAGATGGTCCTTAATAAAATAGAAGCAAATTCTTTTAAAATGTTTCCTAAAAATAAAATTGATTTTTATTTAATATTTCACATTTATGTTAAAATAAAACAGAAAGTTCAAAAATAAATATGTATGCAACATATATACTATTTCTCTTCTGCATACAAATTTTCCAATCTCTCTTTATGAATGAAAACAAATGAACTATCGGACACAGATTCAATTGTGAATTTGCCAAATTCCAAAGAAAACTTTAGTTATTTGTACGTTAAAGACAATGTTAACCATTTGTACCAAGTTTTTACTCATGTCCTTTCCTAAATTATTCTCTACTTGTTCCAAATCAAAAATCCAAATCCTTGATGTCACGAATTTATTGTCCTTAAAAGACAACATATAAATTAATAAATAAGGTGTTTGAATATTAAACGGAAAATCACAATTTTTTTCAATCAAAAATCATAAAATTACGATATATGACTAACTAATAATGTTCCATAAAATTTTCGATTTTAACCTATAAACTTATTTTTCAATTTATAAACAAGTTTATTTTGAATATTATAATTATATAAATAATTATATAATGTAGCATTTATTAGTCTACAATAAAAAAATAGTTATGGTAAATTTAGATTGTGAATATTATAAAAATATTATAACTAAGTATTTATATTGAAGGACTCGACTCATTCAAGATCATTTCATTTAAAAATAATAAATATCATGTATAGTCGAACAACACATCGGAATCTTTATAATGTTAAGGCTTTATAATTTTAAATAAATTGTTAATCTTAACTCAAAATATTTTCTTATTCTTCTCAATTTGATTTTGTATTTCGAATTTTCTCTATTTTAAATATTTTTCCTAGCATTTAGAATAATTTCAACTAGCAGAGCAGAATTGCTTATCACCAATTTCTCTGATAATAGTTAC